TAAATCTGCTGTTTTACATGATTGTTGAATGAAATTAACATYATTATTAATTTATTGTAAAAACATGACAGATAATCTGTAAAACAGATCCAGTTCAGCTGTGAGCTGTTGTCCTGTTTGGTCTGTTTCTGCTCCTCCATGATGTCAGTGATGTTACCAGTGGACGGGATGGACGGGGCTCAGTTTAGTGATATTTAAGTCTGTGGTTGTAGAAGAGGAGAGGAACGTTCCAGACGGTTATCAGAACACAATGCCTGCCTCTCTGATGGTATGGGGGTACATTAGTGCCTACATGAGCAGCTTACACATCTGGAAAGACTCTTTCAACACAGACAATACATGTACAATAGGTTGCCTTCAGGCCCAGGCCGCCCTTGAAAAAGAGATCTGAGATCTCAATGGGATTTGCCTGGTAAAATAACAGTAAATAAAAAATAAAATAAAAAAAATAATAATTTACAGGTTTGAGAACATCTGCTCCCATTCAGACTTTTTATTTTTATTTATTTATTTTTGTCTTGTTGATATCAGAAAAACTCTCTTAAACCTCAGACTGCATCCATTATCACATGGCTTCAACGTAGAAGAGTCAGGTACATTTGGCCTAAAAACATAAAGAGGGGGAAAAAGTATGTCAATATATTTTTTTAATTTGTTAATTTTATTCAAAAACAGTCCTTCTATTCAGACCGTTAATGGCTTTTTTTTAAACTTATTTAAATATTTTTCTTTTGTTTATTGTTCTTCTTTAGAGTTGCTCAGTTTACTTGAATTAAAACCATTTAAAACAATTGTGTAACATCTGTAAAAGTCATTTCTGTAATATTTTTCCAAATAAAAAAGAGCTGCTCTTAAATGAAAGTACCGTAATTCCTGGTCTCTGCGCACAATAAAACAGAATTGTATTTTTTAAAATGAAGTGGAGTTTGACCACAGTGATGAAGATCAACAACAATAAAGAGCCGTTCCTCCAGCAGCTGAAGCTCTGCTGCTCTCAGCACAGGGATTTTTGTGTCTTTGGTTGACCTGAAACTGGCTGCGTCTTTTCAGCCGGAACTTCACGCATGCGCACCGTTAACTTCCGGGTGTCAGGACGGCTGGAGGTAAACACAAACATATTCCGGCTGCAGCAGCGTGGAGGCAGTCATGTCTGGTTGCAGCGCCGAGTTGATCGATTATCTGGAGGGTCGGATCAGTTTCGAAGAGTTCGACCGAAGGAGAGACGAGCGGAAAACAGAGGAGGTAAAAGATGGAGTTAGCTTGCATCGGCTAGCCTGAAGCTAACAGGCTAATGTTGCTCTGGGCTAACACCAGTTTGTTTTTTCTCTGACTTTTTTTATTAATGCAACATAAACTGATTTATTCTGGTTCAGCTATCACACTGCTAACTACCCACGTCCCACTGCTAACTAACCACATCCCACTGCTAACTACCTACATCACACTGCTAACTACCCACATCACACTGCT